GTGTTTTTATTGTGCATAATGATCCATTCCAAACATACAAAGTACAGTGCTAATTAGACACGAACTCAAGCTAAGCTAAATAACTTAGTTTAGCCGCAGAGGGAGCTAAACAAGTATGACAAATCTTTCAATGGGTTGAAAATTTTCTGGCTTGAAAAGGACGTCACGGTCTTCGGACACACACAATGCATCTTTACGTGGGCAAAACGTGCATCCAGGATTAACTCAATACGGCTTTGATGCATGCGCTCTCAGGTTAAAAAGATGCAGCTTCTCGCACGTGAGAATTAATCCAAGGCGCCTTAAATGCACTCAAGGAGAAAGTTCTTTAAAGTTGTATTGTTTTAACAAAAAATTGTGAAGTCCTATATAATATTCTAACTTACGTCTGCGGAAGGATGCTTATGTTCTTCTTTGCATCAATACAAACCGTGATTAGAAATTTCTTAGAATTGTGTACTCAAATTATTTTGTCTACGTAATTCATGATGCTGAGGAGGAGGGGGTATTTCTTGATAGGGCTTCAGGTTTACTGAGTACAGACTTGTTCACCCATCAATGGTATTTCCACCTAGTCTGGACTATGTGACCTGGAATTTGTTTCATATGATCTGTGATACTTGACAACCCTTGGGTACCACAGTTTCATGGATTTTGAACAAACACTTTTGAAATTATGCTAAAAATTCAAAATCTTAACCTCAGGTAAAGTTTTTGATGATGATGCCACAACATAGTCTAAGTTTGTTGACCTTGACTTTGTGACCTGAAATTCTACTCACAAGATTGGGGATACTTGATAACCCTTTAGTCCAAGTTTTATTGAATAAGAACTTATACTTTCAAAATTATATTAAAAATTCAAAAACTTAACCTTAGGGTAAGATTTTGATATTGACGCCGCCGCCATTACCGGAAAAGAGGTGCCTATGTCTTGCTTTTGCTATGCAAGCAAGACGAAAATTGTGAAGTTGTATATAATACTGTAAACGCAGAAATATTTGCGATACATTAATTTTCGCGGATTTCACGCTAAAGTTGGTGTCCGCAAATTTTAGAACCTGCAAAAATATAAACATGACCTCTTATGCGTGTTCTGAATGGGCTAAATTTGGTGCAACGTGCATTTAAGAACCAGGGCATATGTTTTCGGGGTCGCTCAGCGCGAAAAATTAATCGCGTGAAAATATCAGCTTTTAAAGTATTCAAATTCTAGGGCCTTTCCACTGTGGAGGGAGGCTTATGTTCTACTTTGCATCGATAAGAAATCGTAATTAGTAGTTTCTTGGTATTGTGTATTCTTAGTATTTTTTCTACATAATTCATGATGCTTATGACGAGGTGGTATTACTTGATAGGGCTTCAAGCTTACAGAGAACAGACTTGTTCACTGTTCACCCATTAATGGTATTTCCACCTAGTCTAACTTACGTCTGTGGAAGGATGCTTATGTTCTTCTTTGCATCAATTAGAAACCGCTATAAGAAATTTCTTAGAATTGTGTATTCTAAGTATTTTTTCTACATAATTCATGATGCTTATGACGAGGTGGTATTTCTTGATAGGGCTTCAAGTTTACAGAGAACAGACTTGTTCACCCATTAATGGTATTTCCACCTAGTCTGGGGTCAACAAATTATGACCTTTTGCACATGGAGACTGACGAGGCTCTCCATTTAATGCAACTCCGAAAGAAAGGTAACTGAGCTGTTTGATTCATAACATAGTTATTTGATTCATAACATATTTATCTGGTGCCAGCTCCACTAAAAGTCAACAAGTATTTAATTGACTCATAGAAATCATTCATAATGCTAATATCTATTTATGGTGTACCATTTTCATATAGCTAAATACAACGCCCCCCCCCCCAAAAAAAAAAAAAAGCACACTGTAATGGGTAAATCTGTTAAATAACAGGCAATGCAAATGACTGTAAGATCTATCATTTAGAGATACCATACAAACAGAGACTACATTATTTGAGATGTTATTTACACTGCACTCAAGGAAAGAGTTCTTTACAGTTTTATTGTTTTAAAGAAGAATTGTGAAGAGAATTCTATAAAATTGACTTACGTCTGTGGAGGGAGGATTAGGTTCTACTTAGCATCAATCAGAAACCGTAAATAGGAATTTCTTATTTGTTATTGTGCACTTAAAGCATTTTGTTCTACTTATTTCATGACGCTGAACACTTATAGGGGGTATTACTTGATAGGGCTACAAGTTTGCTGTGTGCATACTTGTAGACCCATTAATGGTATTTCCACCTACCGGTAGTCTGGTGTTAGCAAATTATGACCGTCTGCACATGAAAACTGATTGATGAGGCGCCCCCTTTAATGCAACTCCGAAAGAAAGGTTGCTGAGCCATTTGAATCATAACATACTTATCTGCTGCCAGCTAGCTTCTCTAAAAGTCAAATAGCATTTAATTGGTAGAAATCACCCATAATGCCCGGCAATATTCATGTAGCTAAATACGACCCCCCTCTCCCCCCCCCCCCCCAAAAAAAAAGCACACTGTAATGTGTAAATCTGTTAAATAACAGGCAATGCAAATGACTGTAAGATGTAATAATTTAGAAATACTGTACAAACACAGACTACATCATTTGAGATGTTATAACACTGCACTCAAGGAGAAAGTTCTTTACAATTTCATTATTTTAAAGAAAAATTGTAATATTATTCTATTAAAGTGAGTGGAGGGAGGCTTACGTTCTTCTTTGCATCAACCAGAAACCATAAATAGTTATTAATCAGTATTGTGTACTCTTATATGTTTTGGGGTCGCTCAGCATGAAAAATTAAAGGTGTGAAAATATCAGCTTTTACAGTATTCAAATTCTAGTGCCTTTCATCTATGGAGCAAGGCTTACGTTCTTCTTTGCATCAATAAGAAACCGTAATTAGTAATTTCTTGGAATTGTGTCCTTGAAGTATTTTTTCTACATAATTCTTGATGTTGATGACGAGAGGGTATTTCTATTGATAGGGCCACAAGTTTGCTGTGTGCATACTTGTACACCCATTAATGGTATTTCCACCTAGTCTGGTGTCAGCAAATTATGACCTTCTGCACATGGAAACTGATTGATGAGGCATTTGACATTTGATTCATAACATATTTATCTGGTGCCAGCTCCTCTAAAATGTCAACAAGCGTTTAATTGGTAGAAATCACTCATAATGCCAATCTTTAATTATGGTGTGCAATTTACATGTAGCTAGATACATTCCCCCCCCCCCCCCCAAAAAAAAAGCACACTGAAATTTGTCAATCTATTCAATAACAGGCAATGCAAATGACTGTAAGACGTGTCATTTAGAGATATCATACAAACCATAATGCCAATCTTTAATTATGGTGTGCCATTTACATGTAGCTAGATACACCCCCCCCCCCCAAAAAAAAAAGCACACTGAAATTTGTCAATCTATTCAATAACAGGCAATGCAAATGACTGTAAGACGTATCATTTAGAGATACCATACAAACCATAATGCCAATCTTTAATTATGGTGTGCCATTTACATGTAGCTAGATACACCCCCCCCCCCCAAAAAAAAAGCACACTGAAATTTGTCAATCTATTCAATAACAGGCAATGCAAATGACTGTAAGACGTATCATTTAGAGATACCATACAAACAGAGACTACATCATTCAGGGGTGATAGTGAGCACTAAAAAAAAATAGGTTTTTTGTTTTCCCCTCAACCATGCCCCCCTTGAGTGAGTAAAAAAAAAAAAAAGAGGATTCGTGGGGAAAAAATGGCATCTAACAACATCCCCCCCTTTTGAGTAAGAAAATTGGGACAAAATTGGGAAAATTAGGGAAAAAATAGGGCAAAATAGTGATAAATAGAAAAAATAAGAGGGAAATCGGGAAAATCAGGATAAAATATGGAAGAACAAAAATTGGTTAAAAAAAAAAAAAAAAAATCTGGATTTTTTTTTTTTTTTTTTTTATAAATCGGGAAGAAGAAAAAAAATCTGGAAAAATTTAAAAAATCGGGAAACCGATTTAAATCGAGTTTTTATCAGGCCTGATCATTTGAGATGTTATTACACTGCACCCAAGGGGAAAGTTCTTTACAGATTCAATGTTTCAAAGAACAATTGTGAAGTTGTATATAATATTCAAATTCTAGTGCTACGTCTGTGCTTACGTCCTACATTGCATCAATCTGAAAACGTAAAAAGTAATTCTTAGAATTCTTTTCTACATAATTCATGAAGCTGATGACGAGGGTTATTGCTTGATAGGGCTACAAGCTTGCAGACTTGACCCATTAATGGTATAATGTACAGGAATAACGATGACAGGGCACTCTAATTACACTCAAATCTGACGGAAAAAATCTTGAGAACATGTGTATATCAATCATTGTCAAAGATCAAATTTTCAAAGAGCATTCACATAAGTTATGTAAACCATGATAGAGCTTGCTGTTTAATAGCGCGGTATAGTGCAATTTATATGAAATTTAAAGGTAAAGACCAGTTATAGTCATGCGATTGCATTGTGAAAGAAACGTTGACGTGGAATCGATCAGAAAAGGTTGATCATATCTAGCATCTGCAAGGTTCTGGAATCATCAAAATGATAAGAAATTTGGCCCATTCTTCGTAAAGTTACAAGCACTATACACAGAAAGATGTGTATGGGACTACCCTATATCTCTCACAGACCATGAGAGAAACAAATTTACCAAATATATGAATTAGTAGGCGGTTTCCTGGCAAATTTTTTATCATCATGTATTAGTCAAAACATATTCTTTCACATGATTGGTAATGAGAGCTTCCATTTCATTTTTTGAAATTGGGGCGTTTCCAATACTGGTCTTTACCTTTAAGGTGAGCTCCATAATTGAATCCATGCATACAACTCAATAACGGCAGTATTGAATTGTCTTTTGAGCATGTGACTCACAAAGAATGTACAAGATAAGGTAGGGAAGAGGGTTTTGTCCCACCGTTAATCTTACCTGTTTCAAAGGTATCATCAGACTGAGGTGAAGATTGGTCTGCTGATGGCAATACTGTAAATATATAAGGACAAAAAATAATAATAAATTCTAATGTACATTTAAGACCGATACAAAATGAATTCTTATCATCAAAGGTATTCTACATAGCAATCATTCGAAGAGGAAACTGTGTGAAATACACAGGAACATTTCATCAAAATTCAGAACCTCTTTGCACAGTTCTGAACAGATTATGATGCAGAAATTGCCAACAGAATTGACTGACAAAGATACAAAACCATTAAAACCATACCAACAGTCTTACATCTACAAAATCAATGAAGAAGGGGAAGGAGCAGGAGAGGAATGATAGGAAGGAAAGAAGAAAGGGATGATGGGAGTCTCCAGAAATTAGATAGATGAATTGAATTTTCTTGAAGTTAACAGTAGATGGACTTCCACCTGCCCTATACTTTTGAAGAAGGTAGGAAAATTTGATCTTTCTCTCTCTCCCTCTCTCTCTCTCTCCCTCTTTCTTTCTCTCCCTCTTTTCCCTCCTTATATATTCTGTATATTTCGCTGTGTCAGTTCCCTCCCCCCTCCCTCTCCCTCTCTCTCTCTCTCCACTGTCTTATCCTGGGAATAAATAAAAACAACAGCTACATCTTGAGTCATTGTGTCTTTCTGGTAGTGCCTGTCATGACATACCCCCCCCCCCTTTACCAGAGTATATTAATACCATGGACCTAATACAAATGGACTTTCGACGGCGAGAGTAGTAAAACTAATGATAGCTACCACCTGTTATTATGTCTTACTTTCCTCTATGTTTTAAGTCTGACCGCAACACTGCGGGCATGTTTTGATAAGCTCCGATAAGGGTCCTTTGGTCCTATGAGATCCACCGGGATTTTACCTCAGATTTTATCTTATTTTATCTTGATGTAGGCCTACTATATGTGTACTTTTTTTTTGAGAATCTAGATAAATATCTGTGTCCGTAAATTTGGGAACTGACATTAACATTGCAAAATATTCAACATTTCCGTCGTCTTGCCCATCGCAATCACAAAATTCTTCCATATTTATATCATCTAATGATAATCCTGCCCCTATAATTACTTTATAAACAACACATGACTCATGAGTACGTAAAATAAGTATTATGGAACAATACACACATCGAAATAAATAATAATTGTTAGTATAAATACAACGCTGAAATCAATAACAATAATATCATCAGGCACAAAGACGAAAACATGTTCGCTACGACCGCATGGCGGAGAGCGCTCATACAATTTAAGACTAGGTTCTCAACGATTTGAAGGAGCAGCGAACAACCCCAAATCGCGAGCCTGCTGTTGCGATTATGTAAGATTGCGCAAGTGATCACATCCAGCTGTCAGATTGTGGTGGGACCACACACTGGGTTTTTCGCATCGGCGCGAAATTCAAACCTAGCGGTGGAACTCATAGGATCAAAGGGACAGCTTCGTCGAAAGTCCATTTGTAGTAGGGTCCATGTTAATACTGAGAGAGTTACCCTGTTTAAATAAAACGAATAAATAAATTGTAATTTTTTTTTTTTTACCTTTGGCATGATCAATAAGGAAGAGGTGGTTCAGGTACCCTATGAGAAGGTCTCCCTTGGCGTTGAGGAACTTTGCGGTAGAGAGGGTCTGGCTCAGTGTGATCTCTGTTAATAAAGCCTTGTTACAGTCCCATATCTTGATGACAGCGTCACCACTAAGAGATAAATACAATCATCGACAAATTATAAAGACATTCAACAATGCCACTGTGGGAGTACAGAATTTTCTCTCTAGCTGGTTATAATTATGAACTTAATTTGTGTTATGTATTTAAAGACACCATAGCAGAGAAAGTGAAGTGTGGAAAGAAATCAACACAGAGAGACCAAATCACAGGGGTCCAGCTGTGGGGCAATTTGCTCTCTTTTTTTTAATTAGAAAAAACACATATATCTACAACCAATAAGCCCCACTCGACTCTACATCTTGTGTCATTATTTTTGTCAGGTAGTGCCTGTCATGACATCCCCCCCCCCCCACTACGACACCACTGTCAAGAGAAGAAAGGAAAGTGAACTTTGATCTTGCTGAATTGACTGCAGACTCTACACAATAAGAACTCTTCTTTCCTTCCCATTTCAGCTTTCCCATTTAATTTACACATCCAAATCTGCTCAAGGGCTAACGTTTGTATAAAGTATATTTGTCAATTAAGCAGGGCATTGCTCCTAGGGGTCCAGGTTAAAAATGGGGGGGGGGGGGCCTGCTTAATTTTTAATTTGAAATTGTGGGATGATGATATTGAGGGAGCGTGTGCTAGCTGTGCCCTTTTCCAGTATCAAGCCCTAAATGCAGACTCCCCCCTTGAGTGGTATTTATAGATGTTTCACCCTTTCCTCACCTGCATGTGACAAAGATGCCCCTTTCTGGGCACGCGTCCATGGCTATGATGGGCCCCGAGTGTTCCCTAGGCCCTGCATTCTGGTCATTACCCATCAAGGAGAGTCCTGTGTGTCTCAGACCAGCGTGAGGGTCATCTCCCACTGACTGGAGGTCATGAACCTTGACCGCTCCGTCAGAATGTCCAGTGAACAACTTCTTACCCTAGATGCAAATAAAACATTTCCAGAGTCTTTAAAGCCTGTCTGCACTAGTTTGGCCAGGGGGGATTAAACCTCCCTACAAGGTCACTGACAGGTGGTTATCTCATCCTGTCAATTAACGTAAGAAAAAGAGGATCATGGTGACCAACAGGCACCGGTTAGGCATTGTTTGCTAATTAGAGGGCGCAAGTAGCTATAAGTAGTGCAGTGGGGCTTTAACTCCTTCTGGGCCACAGAGGCTTAGAATGGTTGTGATTACAAAAGAGAATTTTTAATTTGTATGTATTGTTTCAGTGATAAAACATCTTGTATGGATGTAATGTTAAAGCTCAACAATGATATTTCCTGTGGAACCAAAGACATATTTAATCCAATCACTTTATCAAACACTCACATTCTTGCGTGGGATCTGCCACTCCCTGTACAGAAAGTCACTGTGTTAATCATCTGACAAAACGACTTACCGGTATATCTAAAAAATTTAAATAGATTTAGAATAATGACAGGGCTGAGTGGTTTACTTTACACAAGATGCCTTTAGAGCAAAACCAGGGGGGTGTTTCACAAAGACAAAGATCGCTCTAAGTTGGACTTAACTATGTCAGGCTGTGCATGCCACCAGTTACTCTCACCATTGGTCTCTCAATTATGATCTTTAGATAATATTTTTTCCTTCAATAATGAACTATCCAAAAAGGTAAATTCTGTAGATTTTTTACCACAATTTGTAAGTCCCTTGAGAAACTAATGCCAGTAATGGCTAGAGGAACTAGTGGCATGAAAGGCCTGCCATAGTTAAGTTCAACTTAAAGTCAATCTTAGTCTTTGTGAGACACTCCCCAGCACTGCAAATATAACACACACACACTCACCAATCTTACGTATCCTGTGACATCCGTCGTAACCAGGACTTCATGAGTGAGCTGGAGCTCTGGGACAGACCAGACCTGGAACAGGTCTTCTTCTCTCAGGTGACTCCTAATGACCAGAGTATTATGGTAGTGATCCCTGTGCATCTCAAGAATCTATGGTTAGCGTAAACAAATTTACCAGAATGTAAAAACCCAAACCTGGTTCTGTAATACTAAGAACCCCTTCTGAGATTATGATGATGATCATCATCATTCACAGCATTTGTATGGTGCTATATATCTGTTAAAAAACACATTCAAAGGCGCGAGCTCCTCCAATAAAGTTAGCATTAAAATGTCTGAAGGAAGATGTGACTTTTGAGTGAAGGTTTGAAAGTGTCCAGGTTGTCAATTTTGTCTATATGCCCATGAGTTTGATTGTTCAATGACCTTTTGGACTAAGAAAGGCTACTGTTTTCTTCTTGGATAGCATTTCATGAAACCATCATTCGTGTAAAGTACAAGATCGCAGACAACCCATTGAAATGAACACCAGACGTACCTCAGGAAACTCCTTCATCAAATACTCCACCCGCACCAAATGCTTTAAACACTCTTACATTCCATGTACCATCAAGGACTGGAACTCACTACCCCCGACATCCATAGGACTTCAAACAATGACACCTTCAAACTACAAGCAACCATCTTTTTCTGTAACCAAGACTTTGGCGACAAGTACTAAATAAGCAACAGTGCATACCCCCTCATCCTCCTCGTTTGGTTCCCAACAGGATGTTGAGGAGTATACCAAAGAAAAAGGAAAAAAAAAGAAATGTGTGTATTTACTCCAACACATGTTTCAATGAGATGTTTGTGAACATGTACTTATGAAGGTTTCATGAAACGATGCCCTGATGCAGGATTAGGTCCATGCACCTTCATTTTGAAGTCTCAATGAAGTATTTCACTCCCAATTTAATGAGAATCAAATAAAACATGTCAAACGTAAGTATTTGAATTTTTTGGGATGACAATTGCTTAATAACAAACATGGTGGCACAAAAAGGGTTAGATCTGCATATACTACTATATACACAATGCCAGCACATCAAGAAGGTTTACCCAAAAAGTAACATACTTCTGTTATAGTTCTGGGTGTCAGTTAGGGTAAGAGTGACTATGGTCCGAATTCACAAAGCAGGTTCAACTTAACCCTTGGTTTAAATCTTCATTTACTTAACCCATGGTTTTTAAATTAGCGCAAAATAAGCGTACCTTGCCTTGCGCGGGTCTGATATTGGACCTTTGGCTGTGTCGCGCGTAATTATTTTGCGCCAATTTTAGACCATGGGTTATGTAAATAGAGATTTAAACCATGGGTTAAATATAACCTCCTTGTGAATTCTAGCCAATATGTGAGCTTCTTATGAGATGAACAAGAACAATGATAATAATAATAACTAATACTTAGTACACTAATCATACTACAACTATATCACAGCGTTTAGAAAATAGATAATACATGATATTGAATTAAACCTTAGGTATTAAAGGGATAGTTGAGTTCTGTTTTCAGATCGCAAATGCCTTCAAAGTGCATGGTTATTGCTATTATTCTCATCTATAACATTTCTAGTGCCCTTTTAAAACCTTAAATTGCTATGAAGGCAATTTTAGACCCAAAAATGTGTGAAATTTAGCCAATACGATCATACCAATTCAGCTCCACTTTCAAAAAAACATGGTGACCGTTAATTAATCATTTAATTAAGAATAAGACGGTTGTGCGTATTATAAGCAACACAAAAATGCCGACAAAAAAGTCAACGTCGGCATTGGCTGAAATACGACGTAAAATGCATTAATTCGTTTTTTCAACGGTTTTTTCAAATTTTTCAAAATATCTAATATTTGTGGTGGTACACAAGTATTAGAAATCGTTATATTTCAGCTGTCTCTGAACCGATTTTGATCATACAAAGATGATTTTGTCATTTAAATATTACGTTCTTTCAAATTTGACACTCAGTTTTTCATTATCTCACAAAAAAATTATTTTGTGTAGCGCCCTCTGCAACAGAACTCTACTATCCCTTTAAAGTACAATGAAATGAACATTGTTTACATGCTGCATGCTGAGAAGCTGGAATGATGTGAACTTGTATATTTTCGCACCTATAGCTCTCCACAGATGTATAAGAACAGTATATTTTATTACCATATTTGGTAGCCTTTTTTCTCTTAGGAGAAAACCCCGTTCATTAGGTTCCACTAAGTGGTCCATGTATCATTCTCATCTATATGGCTTCTAGAAGGTAAAACACTTCATTAACCTTTACACTTGTGTTTTTCAAGAATATTAAACACTAATGAGAAGCGACTTCACACATGCAAGACGCCCTCACACACAGCCTGGCAGAAATCATCAGAATCGATGGATAGCGCCGATAAACTCAACAACAACAACTTCAACACACATTTCATTTCTTTGGGTGAGGTGCAGGCATTTAATAAGGAATTTTTTTCTTTTGTTATTCTATTTTGTTCCTGTGCTTCAATGTCTTGTTTTCTTTCTTCTAATTGGTATCAAAGACCTTGTTGTTTCTCAAAGTGAAATACAGGTTTTAAACACATGCCCTGGTGAGAATGTTTCCAGTTAACAACACACACTCATTTAATTTTTCAAAACCCAAAATCAAGAAGAATTTGTTGTTGTTGGAATAAGTGGAAAATACAATTCTTTTTGAAAACTTCTTAAGTGAAAAAGCATGAACAGTTGTTCTATAAATGTCTAGCTTTTCATGTACATCTACTGAATGTCATAACTTACAGCATCTTTGGAAGCCTGTAGTTCACAGATCCTCACCCCAAAGTTGACTGGATCCATGAAGAGAATTCTACCATCCTTTAAAAAAAATTGAAATGTTAGTTACAAATATAAGTTAACAAGGTGGATGGACATGAAGAGACATTCGTCTCTTTTTGTTTTCTTTGGCATAAAACTTTAAAAAATGCATGCATACAATGTCTTTTAAAAGGCAGAGATAACTCTTTTCAAAGCCATTACAGTAAATTTCTTTAAATTTAAACTTTTTTAAATATTTATAAAACATTATAAAAACATGTCCATTCAACAAAGAAAATGGCAAAGGAGATATTGCTAGCAATTCTACCATTAAAAAAAGGACAATTCACAACACTGCTAATGAGAGATATCAGTGAGGTGTAGTTCCTAATTATCAAAACCCCTTAGTTCAATTCTCTGATTTCTCAAATATTCTCTTGATAGCTTCTTGAATTTAACTCAGAAAAATTTCAGAAGGGTTAATTTCTTTTGAAATCAAATTATTTTTCTTTGTACAAAATATGCTAGGGTTACAGAGCGACGATCTTGGTTGTCAGAATGTATTGATTTTTAATTTTTGATTATCAAAGGTAAGAATGGTTTATCAAAGGAAACCGAACCCCAAGAAATGACTTTACTTATTCTGAGAGATCTATTATATCATTGCCAATTAGTCTACAAGATTCCCAACCAAAATGTTTGAGAGAGGTATAAAGCCAGAATGATGTAGTTTCCCAGCACGACATGGGCATCGCCATTTTCTTGATAACGTGACGTACTATGCGAAGTCGTTTATCAAGTAAATGTATTCAAATTGATGGATGCTTCCTTCCCAGACGTGTGTGGTGATGAAGCATTTCATTCACCTGCTTTTATCCTTTGTACTACAATTGCAAGAATGCAAATTGCATAAATAAGTTGGTGCTCTTCTGGGGTGAAGGTTTCTCATTTCTCATTAATGAAATATATTTGTCAACTACTAAAAGTGTAGTATTTATAAATGAATTTGATTACATTTGTTCCCCTGTTATTTATTTTTCACCAAGTATAATTTCTATCTTCTCAATTTTGATTTTTTTTTTTTCCTCATTGAAAAGTAAAGGTTTGGTTAGTGATTTAAAAATTATTTCCAACCAAAGCTTGGTGCATGATACATGTACAACTTCAACTGGTACGTCACATTTCCAAGAAAATGGCTGTGCCCATGTTATAATAATAGGCATCACATCGTGCCAGGAATATCTTCATTTATATATCTATTGTACATTTTCGTAAGGAATATTGTACATCAAAGGGCAGGAATACATCTAATTTTTCAGAAGACCTACACTTATTCTTCGGGTTTAGGTTTCCTTTATCTAAATCTATACATATCCTCCGGCTATCACATGGAGGAAGAAGAATTCTACAAATTCTACTGATCTATGAAAAGTTCCATATTTGTGAAGAAAACAAAATACTGAAATACTGAATTAATATTGTATTAAGGAAGGTGTCCCTAGGCCAGTGCTACAACTTTTTGAAAGATATTTTTCAGGCTTCATGTTTCAGGATCTGCCCATATATATATATATTTCAATTGCCGAGACAAAATGAAATCAAGGGCAAAAGCACAAACTTAGGAAATACAAATATTGATGTTGCCTAAAGGGAGATTTTAAGAATTGGCCCCAAAATATCCAGGAAATTTCAGCTGCTAATTGCCCCTTTCTGTCCATCAAGATGTATTTTGTAAGTAATCTTGCGTGTTTACTGTTCAATATTCAGTGTGATCAATACCATCATCAACAATAAAGGGATAGAGCAACGTCGATCTGGTGCTGCTCAGTGGCTGCCAGGCTCACGATCAATTGGGGAAAAAGAATTTCCATTTTCGGTTTAACTTAATAAAATTTGGAGTGGACTTTAAAAGATTATTATTATTATTATTATTTCTTTTATCAGAACTTCTGCTTGTACGTATCATTATAAATCAAGGCTAGTCTAAAGAGCAGATTGCCATTTGCTGTCAAACTATGGCATTGGTGTATCTTACTCGCCTTGGGATTCAAAAGTGTTCAGCATGATCAACCTCATTACCTTGCATTTATGGTATATTTGGATGAACCCTGGGAATACTGCAAAGGGTAAATGGCTATCTTTTTACTTTAATAGGAATCAACGTGACTGTTCAGAATGAATAAATGACTACCTTGACTCTGGCTCATCAAAATCCAGGCTAGCCTAAAGGGCAGGGCAATGTTTCATAAAACCGTCATCAGTAAAAGTTCACCGACATCCCATTGAAACGCGTGTTAAACACAAATTTCTATGGGATGTCGGTGAACCCGTACTTATGAGGGTTTCGTGAGATGCTGTCCCGATGGCTAATTATCTGTCAATCTTATCCAGGAGCCCTAACATGTATTGATTAAAAAAGTTACTTGAAATGAGCAAGCGGATACCGTACCACAAAACCATGCATTTTCGGTTGAATACGAAGTCTGTGAAGGGCAGATTGCAATTTGAGGTCAATTTATGGCACTGGGGATGCACATTCAGCAAGATTAAAGCAAATGAATACCTTGCCTAAATATTAATATCAAGTACATTTGAATGAATCCCTGCAAGCTTATAGGGAAAATGGTTATTTTGCCCTATATGACTACATTGCCTATTTGAAATGTTCATAACATGTTATTTTTCTGTTGACATTTCGTATGTTCAGATCCAAAAGGGCTTTAACTCTTGCCTAAATGTTCACAACATGTACATTTGAAAGACTGCAAGCTTTAATATAGGGCAAATGGCTTAAGGGCTTTAACTCTTGCCTAAATGTTCATAACACGTACATTTGAATGAATCCCTGCAAGCTTTAATATAGGGCAAATGGTTTAAAGAGAAGGTTGAGTTCTGGGAAGAGGTGAAAAAAAATTTGTGAGCATTACTCATTCTTATTATGCAAGTGTGGAAGAGCATTAGTTAAGACATGTTCCCTGAAAAGCATGGCTCTTAAAATGCCTTCATATTCTAAATATGCATGTAACATCGTAAAAATCGGGGGGCGGGGGGCCGGCTTTTTACGCCATGTGTTTGTGTAGTCCCATATACATCTTTCTGTGCAAGTGTTTGTAACTTTACCAAGACTTGGCCAAATTTCTTATCATTTTGATGATTCCATAACCTTGCAATACACACAAATTCTTATATGCTAGATGATCAACCTTTTCTGGTTGGTTCCACACCGTTTCTTTCACAATGCAATCGCATGACCAGAACTCAACTTCATCTTTAAGGGCTTTAACTCTTGCCTAAATGTTCATAACATGTACATTTGAATGAATCCCTGCAAGCTTAAAGGGCAAATGGTTGTTTTTCTGTTGACATATCGTCTGTTCAGAGCAAGAAGGGCTTTTACTCTATGTGAAAGTAAATGAGTCAATGCCCTTTGGCTCCAAACAGAAGATATGTCATCCAGGACCCATAGTACGAGAAGGAATGTATAAGGTATTCAGGAAGATGACTCTAAAGCGTTTACCTTCATTCACAGATGTTCTGTCAAATTCAGGCAAGAAATACTGAAAAATTCTTTTTAACCAACAAATATGGCATCTAGTTACCACATTTTGGATATACATTTAGGTATGCAGCACGATTAAACGACAACCTTGCCTCGCTCGCGTCTACAGGGCATATGGGTATTTTTCTGTCAATCTACGTCATCTATGGATCTTATGGGACACAAGGATGTCCAGTAGAATAATGTCAATAGTTTCTCCTCTTTCCAAAATTGAAGTTCTTCCACCAAGGTAGCTAACGTCTATTGTTTGCTCCTGTGAAATCTAGTGTATGGCATCCTAGTACCATATTGGAGATAACAAATATTTAAATACAAATTTTAATACAAAACTTTGGGTTGAATTCCACAATTTTGGTTGAGGGCAATGTTCGTTAAATTAATGTAATAAAGGAACCTGTTAGGAAAGACTGCCCATATGTAGGTGGTATTTACTTACAACTTCTCTTTCAACACTAGCTTTAATAAATGAGAAACATTTTCAAGGGAAAATTTGTAAAAGTCATTCTTGTACAGTTGTTCTTTCTGTGCAGGTAGTCATTAAAAAAAAGGTTTGACTGTATAATGATGGATATTAAGAAAGGCACCCACAGGGCAACACAGATACAGGTACCTTAATTTTCATAGCTCTATGCCATGCAATCATACTTCAAAACCAAGAATGTATTTCTCTACCTTTATCAGATCAAGATTTCTATGATACATAAGTAATAATAATAATAATAATAAAAATAATATTTATAGGGCGCTTTATACAGGCGTTTCTAAGCGCACAGGTGGTACTGTCTAACTTACTATAAATATTCAACATGTTCAATAGCTTAAAAGCAACAAAATAAAATAAAAGATTACTAACACATACAATACAATTCAATTAATCACAAACAGGCTTTCATTTATGTTTAGGAGGACAATGATACTATCCTTCCTACTGCGGGAAATGCCATGAACATCAATGTGTTTGGCAAGTAAATAGAGATATAAAATTTGATTTGATCTCATTTAAACATGTGATTAAGTGCTTTGTTATGAATATTTATGTACGATGTTATCCATGATTTTATCTGAATAAAGATTTATTTCAGAAACAGAAAAAAATCAATGTGTTAGGCAAGTTGAATCCGAGCCAAAGCTGTCTAAAGTATCTTTAAAAAAAAGATATTGAATTACCTCGAGGCCTAAGAGAAGAAGGCTTCTTTTGCGAGGACACACAAAGCCTTGATCTTCCCAGTACTGAACGTGGGAATGAAGAGCAAGAACCGAGTGGCAAGGCACGGCCACCTCGATGCCCGGCGGCCCTTCAGCACTGGCCGAGCGAAAGCGGAACCCCTTGAAGTGGGCGCTGGATGCTCGTAGCGTTGGTGCCATTTTCTTGTCACTGCTTGAGAAAGAATGGCATACAAGAAAGCCACAGAATTATGAATTATGATTATTTTAAAAATATATGAAATGACATGGTTGTTAGCATAACAATTGGCATTACATTTGGTATTGACATCACAATTACAAGGTAACAATTTCAATTAAATATTGGGTAACCGGTTGATCAGACCTTCTACACATCTTAAAGCCCCACTGAACCCCTTATAGCTACTTGTGCCCTCTACATAGCAAACAATGCCTAATCGGTGACCAATGGTCCCCCATGATCCCCTTTTTCTTATGTGAATTGAGAGCTGATTTGATGAGATAACCACCTGTCTGTGACACTGCAGGAAGGTCTAATCCCTCCTGGCCAAATTAGTGCAGATGGGCTTTAATAAGAGGGTAACAAATTATTTAAATCTATAAATGCTAACTAATGCTAGCTCCAGTTATCATTTAAAAATATTAATTCAAGATGTGAGCTTACACTGGAAGTGGGGTAGAAGAGTGCACTCGAGCAGACTGGGATCTTGCCTTGTTACGGTCCTGAATCTTCAAGACATCCCAAACAGCAGTCCGACATGCTGGGTCAGTTCTGAGAAGAAAGGACGAATGTTAAATCTCCATGGAAACAGCTGTAACTGTAATTGTAGTCCATCTACAATGTTATTTGTGACAGCTCCCTATACAAATTATCTCAGTGTGGTATACAGCTTGTGTGTTAACTAACCATCATGGTCATACAGATGTGACGCCGTACACCAAATGAATGAACAGTAATGGTAAAACATTGTACCACATTAAAGGAAGAGCTATGCTATTTTGCAACTAAAATTACAAAAATCTGAAGAAAAGCCTTTTTTTTTCTTTTCTTTTTATGGGGGGGGGGGAGGGGTGGGGTGGGGTGGGTGCACTGAACATGTGTATGTCTTATTAGATAGATAATAGTAAGGAAAGAGGGTGGGGGTAAAGAGGAGAACAAAACATAAATGGGCTTCATTTATATACACACAGTCCAGAGATTCAAATTATGCTTCCTTGTGGGTTAGTTATTGAATGTTTTTGAAGAACAAGACAGCACTGAATTATTGAACAAATATGCAACTGATGTACATTATTCTATCCCTTATTCTATCAAGTACATGTCGAGGGGTCAGTGACACAAAGACGTAACTCCATTCCAAAAAGTGATTTAAAGATAGAGGTCCACTTGGGCCTTAGGGAGTTATGTCTATGTTTCACTAGCCATGGACTTCAATGGGGTGTTGGGTGGAGTTAAGTATTTGTGTTACCTGGAAAGTCCACATTTTTCTGAACATTTTGATATCAAATACTCATTTTGGCAAAATATGGAGTTACGTCTTTGTGTCATTGAACTCTTGACGTATACTCTCATCAGACTTACTTCATAGTATAGACCCATATCTCGGTGGGGTTGACCAGGAGGTAGACAAGACTGTATTCACGGTTGTAGGCCACTGAGAGGACCTGGGTGAGGGGGGATACTGATGGAGGCGGTAGGACGGTCGATAGATTCTTCTGATCCTTCATAGATACCAGTCGAACACTGCAAAAGAAATTTGTTAAAGGCAAATTTGATGCAGTTAAGGCTTGTTCAAGTACATGAATGCCATGATAAAGTAGGGTGGTTTATCGTGGGGGGGGGGGGTATTTACATACTTCAGTGTACTGCACTGAACATTTGTATATTTGATTGGACAAGGATAAGTGAGAAAGGAGGGTGGGGCAATCAGAAAAACAAATAATAATCCAGGTTCTTGGACAAATACTCCAGCATCAATGACTCTTAACTCCAACGCTGAACCAAACACTTATCTTACCCTGACCCTCTGGGTACACCCTATAAAACAAAAATCAGTCCTAAAACCCTTTATGTTTGAAAAAATAAAGCCTGGAGAAAACTTTTGCCAGAGCAAATATTGGGTAAAGGATATACAGCCAAACCTGTCTACAGCCACCGCCCAAGGGAAACACAAAAAGTGGTCTTTGTAGACAGGTTCCTTTAGTACATGTTTCATTGAGAAACCATTTTCAAGGGAAACAAAATGTGCTTGTTGTAGACAGGTGGTCTTTGTAGACAGGTGGTCACTAAAGCAGGTTTGACTGTACCTACCTGCTATCTTCACCCACTGCCACTACCCTGCTGGCTTTGTGGTCAAGCTGGGCGACGTAAAGGGATGTGGTACGGCACCTTGCCAAGGCGTAGAAGGTGACCACCTCGTTGATTGACCAGAGGTTGAGGTCTTGCAAGGTCGCTGTCCACAAGTGACCCTCTCCCGTCAAACCCATCCAGTGAATACCTTCAGTGGATACAACCACACTGTTTTGTGGAGAGTAAAGGAAAAAATGACCATGAGAAAAACAAGACAAATGCGACTTCATCTCCTATATGCCTCCACCCTAAATTTAGTATACGAAATGGATGGAATTAAATGTGACATATCAAGATGAGAACAAAAAGCCTATAATCGAACGTCAATCGACGACTATGATCTTGACCTACTAGCCCCAAAATGTCATTGGATCATCTTCCAATAGTAGTACCGTCACCACATTTATATATTGCGATAACAAGGCTAAAAACCTTTAATTAGAAAAATTAAACTCTATGATCTTTGACCTTTGACCTATTTACCCAAAATCTGAACAGATTATCTTCCTATGGTGATACATACTATCATCAAGTTTAAGTCTTGTTTCTCTCATGGTTCTAGAGATTTTGCGATAACGAGGCTAATAGCTGGAATTTAAGAAGTTGACCTCTGTGATCTTTGACATTTGACCTAATAATGCAAAATCTAATCAAATTGTTTTCCTATGGTGATACAAATCGTGACGAGTTTGAGCCTCATATCTCTAGTGATTCTTGAGATATCGCGATAACAGGCCAATATATGGAATTTCATAAGTTGACCTCTGTGACCTCTGACTTAGTTACTCTAAAATCTAATCAGATTTTTCCCTATGCTGATACATATCACTATCAAGTTTTAAATTCATATCTCAAATAGTTCTTGAAAAATCACGATAACAAGGATGCAGGACAGACAGAGGGATGGACAAACAAAAAACATAATGCTTCTGGCACTGACATACAAAAACAGGAAGGCCAGATTAATTAACAACATAGGGATTATTATACTGCGTCAGTCCTTGAAAAGGGATTTTTTTTCATAGACCAAATTTCAAATATTTTCATAACAACAAGTCACCTACGTAGTAATGAGAGCTAAGAATCAGAATGTTTGTCAAGTTTAGCACTCTGCCAAATGAAAACAAGGGAAACGCTCTCGGCAGTCTCGCCTGCATAACGCAATTCAATATGATAAACCAGAACGTCAATGACGTAGCGCTCATCCGCATCTCGCAACAACAAATATCGTAAATTTTATGTGGTACACTTTTGAACTGGTCAAAAAATAAAAATTTGATGCCCTGGAAGGGACATAATTTCATTTCATTTGCATGAAGTACCATAAATAATCAATGGAGCAAAATATCACAATTCTGTGTAGAAGTTTAGTGTTCCAAATTTAGCTCTACCAGATAAGGCAAACCAAATCAAAATCAGTCAAGAAATGAGGGAAAAGAAGCAATTTTTGTTATTTTGGAATAAATTTGCATAAATTACCATAATTCATTAATGGAGAACAATTTCAAAATTCTGTGTAGAAGCTATCATATTAAACAATCAGAATCAAAATCAGTTGAAAAATAACGAAGAAAAAGCATTTTGAAAATCTTGATGTTGATGCCACAACAAAGTCTAAGTTTGTTGACCTTAAATGACCTTTGACCTTAACTTAGTGACCTGAAATTCTACTCCCATGATTGGGGAGACTTGATAACCATATAGTCCAAGTTTTATTGACTAAGAAATTATACTTTCAAAATTATATCAAAAATTCAGGTTAAGTTTTCGATGATGATGCTACAACATAGTCCAAGTCTGTTGACCTGAAATGACCTTTGACCTTGACTTTGTGATCTGAAATTCTGCTCACATGATTGGGGATACTTGATTACCCTATGTTCAAAGTTTCATTGACTAAGAACTTATACTTTAAAAATGATATCAAAAATTCAAAAAGTTAACCTTAGGTTAAGTTTTTGATGTTGACGCCGCCGCCGCCGTCGCCGTTGCCGTCACCGGAAAAGTGGTGCCTATGTCTCGCTTTTTGCTACGCAGGCGAGACAAAAATCAATATAGAATTTGTGCAGATATCAATATGACACAAGAGAACCAAATCTGCTAGCAAACTCGGTAACATTGCCTCAGATTCTGAAACAAAATCCTGGATTTAGCTCATGATGCAATCATAATTACAAACCTTTTGGTCAGTCAGGAATCCCATGACTTTTACAAGCCGATCGCCTGTCTGATTATCAAGATATTTATGATTGGAAATCAAAATTTCATTTTTCGTTTTTCAAACGGTTTTTATAACACTACATTCAGAAAATGAGTACGCTAAAACAGGTCACTCAAAGATTTTTTACTTTTTAAGGCACTTCATGATCATTTTGAAACACAATTTTTTTTTAGGGCTTTAATATTACACCATATCACAGACACTGATAACACGTAGGGCCATGCATCTCAGATTTAACATTGTTAAATGATGCCTTTAAAGGGATTTGGTAACATTTTTCAGATGAGAGAAAGTGGTGCTAAGGTAGTGACTTCAACGCTAGATGTACAATTAAAGATAATTAGAAAATTTGAGTGAAAAGGGACAATTATTCATGGTACAAATAGGGAAAAACTGATCTGATCGATTCTTTAATTCTCCCAACTATATTATTACAATTTAATTACATTTTAGATGAATGGAAATCGTCACAAAGCAATAAAATGGCTCTACATTCTATTCCAGACATTCAGGTGTTGACAGATTTTTTATAGCCTGTTTTATGTCTTTTTTTCATGGAAAAACGGTGGGGAAAATTCAAAAATGGTTGGGAGAATTTACTGTTAATCACTGTTAGGGTGTCATATATCAACCTTTTTCAAAGAAAACCATGGATATCTTTGTTGTTTGAGAATTTATACACAAATTTCCGTAAGCAATTTTTTTTATCAACCTTCAACAATGTTACCAAGTCACTTTAATCAAAATCAGATAAAGTAGCTGGAATCAATTACAGACCTGTAGAGGAGTTCCATGATGTCCAGAGACCAGATCTTGACCGACCCATCCAGAGAAGCAGTCAATACCATCATGGAAGTCTCCGGGTGCAGGACTACATCGGTTACAGCCTTGGAGTGGCTTCGGAACACATTGATCAGACCTCCATTAAGTGTCCATACCTTCACTGGTATAGGGAGAGAGGGAGGGAGGGGGGGGGGGGGGGGGGGGGGAGGGAATCAAACATATATAAAGCACATCATGTAATACTTCAATGTGCTTTAAAATGTTATTACTATCATTACCCCCACTGGATTTCAAGCCCGCACAAAAGTGTGCACCGTCTCCACTCCTTAGGGAGTATTGTTATCACTTTGAAATGGTAATGTTCATGGAGAGGAATGGCTAGAGCAGTCACATTGGCCTGTTGGTAATCCTCACAGGTGGTTTTGTTTTTTTCCCATCGTTAAAGTGAAATCTTGTCGACAGATCTTATTTATTATACTGTTGTTTCTTTTTTTTTCTTTTTTTCTTAACTCTTTTTCAGTTTTCTAGAGCTACATACTCTAAGGCTTCCCCACCTATAACCATCTACCCCCACATTGTATTTTTGTTCTCCTTTATTATTCATTATTATGTAACCAACCCAAAAGATGCGCTTCAGAGTGTGACATTTTTGTGATGTTATGGACTTAATGTTTATCAGAGCTCTCTTCTCTTTTTTTTAAATGGCTTTCCACTGCTTTATCACCCCTACTCCTACTCTTTTTCAAAGGTTTACACGGCATGTGAAGCCCTGTAAATCTTCTTTTGGGATAAAACCATGGTTAAGAATTTAAGAGTACCTATTTTGTTGTAATGTTATGTACTTCATCGTGATGATGGGTTTATTTTTCTTTTCTATTTTCCTTACTAGAGCTTAATATCGGTTTTCTAGAGTTCTTTTCGGTTTCCAGAAATCTCTTGGAGCTTTCCACAGGTTTATCGCTTTCCACTCCTACTCTTTTTCCACATGTTTACATGGCATGTGAAGCCCTGTAATTCTTCTTCTGGGATGTTTGTAACGTTATGTACTTCATCATGATGATGGGTTTCTTTTTCTTTTCTTTTTTTCTTACTAGCGCTTTATTTCAGTTTTTTCGAGTTCTTTCCAGTTTTCCAGAACTCTCTTAGAGCTTTACACTTCTTAATCACTTTCCACTTCCTGTTGTTCTTTTATTTTTCTTTTATTTCTTTTTTTCTTTTCAATGATTTAACAAAAATATGAATCCCTTTTAATTCCCTCGTCTGGGACCAAACAGAGGATGGACGACAGACTTCTTAATCTTAGTAGTCAATAACTTCCTGTTCTTGTTGTTGTTTTTTTTGTTGGGGAGTTGCTTTGTTTCACTGGTTCAAAATAAATGTGAATCCCTTTTAGTTCGATCATCTGTGACCAAATATAGGATGGACTGATCTTGAAGGCAGACTTCTCAGTAGTAAATTTTAAAACAATACATCCAAGTTTGCCCCCACCCCCACCCCCCAAAAAAGACAATTGCCTGACTTAGCAACAACTGAAGAGTACAATTTGATTCTGAAGCTAACACATTCTGATTATTGGAATACAATACATTGATACAAGTAAATGTAACAGTTTGTCATTCGACAAATATATGTGAATGCTTTACCAATTAAATGGCATGTTGAAAAAAAAGTGTAGATCTATTCTAGTACATGTATACTCTAATCAGACTTACTTCATAGTATAGACCCATATCCCAGATATTTACAGGCCAACAAAAGTATTAATGATACTTATTTGATTGATTAATTTCATTTCGTTCAATCTCAAATCACAAAAATTGTGGACCTACCTTGATGATCATTTGAACAGGTTACAAGAAGCCGAGCTTGAGGGGAGAATTTACAGCCATTTATCTGGGAATCATGGGCTCTGGAGAAGAAAAAAAGGAAGGAAAGTTTGCATTAAATAAGAAAAATCTGCACTAGTGTGGCCAGGAGGGATTAGACCTCCCTGCATGGTCACTGACAGTTGGTTATCTCATCAAATCAGCTCTCAATTAACATATAAGAAAAAGAGGACCATGGTGGACCAACGGTCACCGCTAATAGGCATTGTTTGCTATATAGAGAGCATAAGTAGCTATAAGTAGTGCTGTGGGGCTTTAAATATCAATAACCAAATCTTGAATGGATATGGCTCTTATGTTGCAACAGGTATTAACTCTTTCTGTGTGACCTAGTATATCATCAAATTTATAATTAAGGTCTTGCCAAAGTGCTAAGCTACGGTCTGGTGTTTGAACCCTCAGCCCTTGGATTGAGAGTAAAGTGAATGAACAACTATACCATGACACCACCATATGTTGAGGTCTAGAGCTAAAAATGGAGGGGAGGGGGTGGGGGGGGGGGCATGTGTACCAGATTTCCTATTAGGGTCAAGTGTAAGAGCCTTCAATAGGTTTTGCTAAGCTACAGAATATTATCTTCAACTCTCCTCCTCCTCCTCCTCCTCCTCCTCCTCCTCCCCCCCCCCCCCCCCTCCTCCCCTCCCCCTCCTTCCCCTTCCCCTCCTCCCCTACCAACTCCCTCACCTTTCAATCTTGCAATCCATGTCATAGCACTGGACAGACGTGTCGGAGCAACAATAGATGTGCTGGAACCTTTCTCCTACCCCTTTCCCCTCCTCATCCTCATCTTCCTTTCCCCTCTGCCTCCTCCTCCTCCTCTCCTCCTCCCCTTTCCCCTTTCCCCTTGTCTCCTCCTCCCCTCCTCCTCCCCCTTCCCCCTCCTCCCCTACCAACTCCCCCACAGTTGCCCTCACCTCTCAATCTTAAAGATGAGCTTGCCATCCATATCATAGCAATGGACAGACGTGTCGGAGCAACAGTAGATGTGCTGGAACTGTTCATTCAGCTCTACCTTTTTAATCCAGCTACCTTTCACAGATTCTAGCTCCTTCCTGCATATGATGTATGGAGCAAAAATTGAAAGAATCTTGAATTCCTGTGACTGACGAGGCATATAGGTATGGCACACAAGGTAAAAGCCGATATCAGAGTTGGCTTGACAAAGAATAGAATGTCTAAAAACAAGTTCATGTTAAAAAAAATTAAGGAATATAATTAACCAGGGTCATTCAGCAAATTATCAGTTTTATCTCTAAAAACCCATATACATGCAATACAAAATTAATTTGTTATATGCCATTTTATATAAAATCTAGAATGAAATAGAAAACAAGATAAATGCATGAACCCTGTTTTGACCTAAACCAAGAACCTTATGTAAGATCGAAATTAAGCACATACTATGAATGTGACTGCATCGCCGAAATTCCCTTGTGCTATTCATTCCATCGTGTATGACGTACCTATTGTTACTATACACTTCTATGGCTTCCACTGATTATATAACTACTTCTTAAACCAAAGAATGAATTGTGACCTTCTTCCATGCTCGGATAGTTTAGGTCTTGCTTGGTCCACACGGCTCCTATGGTTATGAAGTTATCATGGTATGGTATTAATAAATTAGATAAAAGCCTAACTTAAGAACAAAATATATTTCAAACTATATCAAGAAAGTGACCGAGAACAGTCTTATCTAATACTCGTACAAACCAACTTATTCAATAAGCGCTTATTATATTATACGATAAGTATATTGAAGGGTTTCGCATGAAAACAGTCAAGATACTCTAAATCTTAGAATCTTACGTCAAGAAGAGCTTGTAGTTAGCCATATGATTTCATGCAAAATCCTCCAATATACTATAAATCTTAGAATCTTACGTCAAGAAGAGCTTGTAGTTAGCCATTTTATTTCATGCAAAATCCTTCAATATACTATAAATCCTAGAATCTTATGTCAAGAAGAGCTTGTAGTTTAATTAAGCCATTTGATTTCATGCAAAATCCTTCAATTTACTCTAAATCCTAGAATCTTACGTCAAGAAGAGCTTGTAGTAAGCCATTTGATTTCATGCAAAATCCTTTAATATACTCTAAATCTTAGAATCTTACGTCAAGAAGAGCTTGTAGTTAGCCATTTGATTTCATGAAAAATCCTTCAATATACTTTAAATCCTAGAATCTTACGTCAAGAAGAGCTTGTAGTTGGCCATTGGCTTGATTTCTCTCCATACTTCATCAGCAACTTGTCTGAACTCCCAAACCTACAAGCAATAGAAAAATGACATAAAAAAGTCGTGACAAGGGCAAATCATTTATATAAGAATGACTGAAGGAAAATAGCAGTGCAAGGACATACAAATACATGAATGTCAAAATTAATCTCGGGCATGGTACTTGACATTAAGTTGCATCTATAATAATAAATCCTAAATCCTTGATGTTAAGAGTTTCAAGTATAGATGGTTGTTTCAAATATTGCATATTCCATGAAACCAGATTTGGAGTACCATACATTCTACATACAGTATTTACTCATTAAAAGTGACATATGACATTGGAAATGCATTGTGCAGTATCTTTCCTAGACATGTAAGTCATATTCGTGGAAAAAGAACAATTGTAATGAAATTAGAAGAGCATATGTAACAAATCCCTTTCTGAATTCTGATTACTGTAGTTTCTGATGTTGAGCTTGGTGATGTAAAGAAACATATCTAGTATGTGTACTTTACTACATTTATGTGGAATGTGCTAAGCATTTCAGTTTGATAATTCGTCAAGAAAAAAATTTCATCTCATCTACAAATCTTAAGTTGCAAGTCAGTTAATAAAAGAATACAAGTTTACTTGTTGCAAGGTAACACTACGCTGAAATTACAAGCTTCAAAAACGAGTTTTGACAAATTTATAAAAGACAAAACATGAAAACTCAGAATAATAACTGAAGAAGACATGGTAATTATGCAGCCAAAAGACAGTTCCTTGACAGCAAAGCGTTACAGGACTACATGGGTATTAATTGTCAGGAAAGTCTGGCAGTAGAATCGGAAACCAAAGTTCCATCGGATGCTCACGATATACACTGTAGTATATGACTCCATGAGGACCAGGCTGGGGATGCTCACAAATCACAACAAAATCCATGAATAAATAGCTCCAAAGATCTCACAGATAGACAGAAGTGGGTAGTCATTCATACTTGGCATCCCTTGGGCAACACCTAGGCCAAGCACCAGTTGCTACTTTGCAGATGGTGCACAATTAAACCTCATTAACAGTCCAATATACTTCACATGCTCTGGACATCCTTGAGCTAAGGACAAGTTGATCCCATCCCACTCTGCCAACAGGGTACAAGTATCATCAATGGAGAGAAGCGAGAGAACAACATATATATATATGCCTTATTTCCCCCAGGATGAATCTGGGGCAAAGAATGGGTCAGCCCACCTTGAATCTTAGGATTATACACAAAACATCATCCAGGCACAGACCTTCTTGTACGTCAATGGACACACGGACATGAAGAGCAACAACAAATAGCTGGCATCCCCTACTAGGAAACCCCTGGATCAATAGCACATCAGCATGACAAGCTTTTTGGTTGTCAAGAGAAAGTCAAGAGAAGATTTTGTCTAAAAGCCCTGTTTCATAAAACTGGTAATCAATAACAAATGCTAAATTTATATGACAAATTTGCTCTCAGCCAATTAAATACCGGTACCATGATTTCAGTAGCTTAAATATCAGTTATTTTGATGACAAGTTTTAGGAAACAGGGCCTTGTTTGTGTATGTATTACAATATCTCATGGAATAGCAATTGTACAGATTCTTTTTATGACGTATATAAAATCCAGAACTAAACTGAAAAGCAACCCATTTCATAACAGTTCATTACATGTTACAAAACATCCCTACACGAAGCTCTACAACTTATTGTTCTGTCCGTGAATCTCTGGTTATATTAAATTAGTAATTCTGAGGTGTCTTACTTAAATTATGTAAGTCTACTTATTACCAATGCCTTTACATTGGAAATACAGACGTACCAGTATTGAAGTGTTGTTGATGTTCAACTGGTTGGAAGTTTTACCAAATGGTTCTAATGGCTCAGCTAGACCAGTTGAATTCTAACTGGCCTGGATCAACTGGATCATTTAGCCCATTTCAATTTCCAGAGTTCCCAGTTGGCATTAACTGGTTCATCAACTGGACAAGTTGCAACTAGTTTTCTCTTCTGGGATGTTTGCACCCCCCCCCCCCCCCTCTAATCCTAAACTGCTTTCGGCGCGCCTTGACGTAATTATGGAAGATCCAAGACACGATGTTCAGAAACGGGATGAGAACGTCATTATTTTGGTTCATTTATTGTGTAACATTTGCGTAATTATTGGGTTGAACGCGGGTTACAGTAACATATTTCCTCCTCGACGTAAATTTCACGTGAATGAAGAACATGATTCATCTCAAGTCAGCCTCGTAATATTCACGTGAATTTCACGCAGATATTTTTACTAAACTATCACTAACGCTTCACATGTTTCTGTGACGCAATAATTTCGTTTATGAAGATGTAATTTCATAACCAAACAAACACGGGAGTATTAGGTTTAAAAACCATGATCTCCAAGGTAGGGATAATCACGTTATTATAATGGTGATATTGCAGTGACAATTGCATGATTTAGTGTACATGTGTTTTAAGTTACCTAGTGCAATAAACGTATTAACACAATTACGTAAATGTCAGGTGTTTGAAGAACGTAACTCTCCTCAAGTCGATACCTTGATATTGACGTGATTTTCACATGATTTTGTTTATTGGAAAGTCATAAAATAATGCAAGACTAAGGTTATATAACATAAAGCTCTACATTAACCAACGTATTATGCTTTATAGTTAGCTCATTTTTTTCCAGAAAGACCTGGGTGCCTTTGCATAAACCTTACCATTGTAAGTTTTAAGCAACAGGGCTGTGAGTTCTTTAATAGAACCACAAAAGTCAATGAATCAGATTTCTAAATATAATATGAAAAACTATTTTTGGTTTTTTAAACAAAACCTATTTGAAATTATTATCTTTAAGACATTGTAGTAGTAGTAGTAATAGAAGTAGCATGAGTAGCAGTAGCAGTAGCAGAAGCAGTATTAGTAGCAACAACCCAACAAGGCTTTGTTGGATAACTTGTTTTAAGATAAAGTTATGGTCATGCGATTGCATTGTGAAAGAAACGTTGTGAAAGAAACGTTGTGAAAATCAATCAGAAAAGGTTGATCATCTAGCATAGATGTACTGCAAGGTTCTGAAATCATCAAAATCATAAGAAATTTGGCCCAGTCTTCATAAAGTTACAAGCACTGTACACAGAAAGATGTATATGGGACTACGCACACATGCGCGACACATGTGTTTTTATCTCTCACATCCCAATAGACAAACTAGTTTACCAAATATATCAAATAGTAGGCGGTTTCCCGGCAAAATTGTTATCATCATATATTATTCAAAACATATTCTTTCACGTGATTGGTAATAAGAGCTTCCATTTCATTTTTTGAAATTGGGGCATTTCCAAAACTGGCCTTTACCTTTAACGCAAAGCTAATCTCAGTGCTACAAGGTCCATTAAACTCAGTCTTGAATTCGTTATGTCCTAGCTTCCATCACTATTCACTAAATGCTTTGTATATTTCAATATCATTAATTTCAATTTTTAAACCCAAGATTTCCTTTATATAGCTTACATGTAGCTCAAGGATTGATAACCATATCACATTCTTTAATGTAGGAACAAGGCAATTGGCACCCCCCCCCCAAAAAAAAAAAAAAAAAAAAATTAAAAAAAATTCCTTTCATATGAACGCACAAAGTACAGGAAAAAACACAGGAAGAGGCAAGAAAGATAATGAAGTCTGTACAAGCCAATGTGGATAAACATAAAAAATGTCAAGAATATATATATACAAAGTGTTAAAATAGGAAACTGAGGCATCACAGATGTCAGAGTGAGACAGCAGTGTACGACCATTATCCTTCCAAAAACCTCATGTACACATAATATGATAAACCACCTACAAAATGCTGCAGAAAAATAACACAACAAAATGTATGCTTCATATTTCAGAATTTTTTCATCAAGTGCAACTACTTTTTTCCATCTCTGTTTGCCATGATTCATTAACTTGAAAAACGATTATTCCCCGGTATATTTGTTTCTTTTCTTTTTTAATGGTTTACCACATCACGTGAAAATGAGGCTTCACTCTGCACTTCACACAAAACCTACCTTGGTTCCTTTCACACCTCCTGTAATAAGCTCATCTCTTACAGGGTTAAACAGAAGGAACATCACAGAGCTAAGATCAGAATCAATGTTGCAAGTCTCCTCGAAATCCTTATTTAGCACCTGTTTGGTAGACGAAAACATAAAAAGGAGTCGAATTAAAATGTAAAGAATTGATTAAACTCTTTATTTGTTATCAATTGAAATTCTAGACTGCCCCATGGCTAGCAGCATTATGATATAGATCGTGGCGCGACAAAAGTTGACTGTGGCAGACTGGCAGTCCACTCTTTGTTCATTTAGATGCAAGGTACAAGGTAAAGTCAATTGTATTTAAAGAAATATCATCAGCATGTGTTGAAAGCATCAAAGGAAAAATGTTTAAAAAGTAACATTGCAACCAGATTACAAGTCTATTTATGAGAAGCAAGCTATTCTTGCACATCTTTTTAAATATGTAGTAATAAAATACCATTTTAAATACAGCAGAAGATAGATCAGGAATGTCTCAAAAAGCAATGCACAAAAATCTGGGAGAAAGTTAAGAAATACACGAAAGTGGACAAAATGGAACATATTGCTAAGGCGCCACGGATTTATTCAACTGGCATTCGGAATGCATTCCGAATGCCCTTGTTAATCTTTCTGGAATGTATCTGGAATGTCCCCATTCTAGCCACATTCTCAAAAAATCGATGCGACCTGCGCCTATTGTCTAGAGAACAAAGGGGCATTCCAGAATGCACACATTCTGGAATGCATTCTGGAATGCGCCTTTGTTCTCTAGACAAAAGGCGCAAATCGCATCGACTTTTTGAGAATTGGGCGATTAAAAAGCATGCCCGAGACGCTGGCGATTAATCAGAATTGCGTGATTTCAAATGCCTGCCAAAGTGACTACAGCGCGGCGCAAAACATGCTATAACATTCGTTCTCTCAACTTCTGATTTTCTGAAGTTGATAACAGCGGAAACACGTTGTCTCCTAATTGAAGGGAAAAAATATCTTGGAATTACGTTTCCATTTTCCAATAAAAAAAAAGTTACGATCGCTTTATTTCTTAACCGTTAAAATGAATTTTGACGCTACGAGCTTGTTTTAATACAAGTATTTTCCTGCTCGAAAAAAGATTGCATTTATATAAAATAACTTGTTTGTCTTTTCAAATTTCTGCCGACATAGTGTTGGAATATGAATTAGTATCATATTTATATAGACAGCGCGGAGCACTTTTAGAAGGAGTAAGAGCTATTTTTTATTATCTTTTTAAACAAGGTATAACATTCGTTCTCTCAACTTCTGATTTTCTGAAGTTGATAACTGCGGAAACACGTTGTCTCCTAATTGAAGGAAAAATTATCTTGGTATTACGTTTCCATTTTCCCATAAAAAGAAGTTGCGGCCGCTTTATTTCTTCCCCGGTAAAATGAAATTTGACGCTACGAACGAGTTCTAATACAAGTATTTTCCCGCTCGAAAAAGATTACATTTATATAAAATAACTTGTTTGTCTTTTCAAATTTCTGCCGACATAGTGTTGGAATATGAATAAGTATCAGTTGATATAGACAGCGCGGAGCACTTTTAGAAGGAGTTAAGAGCTATTTTTATTTATCTTTTTAAACAAGGTATAACATTCGTTCTCTCAACTTCTGATTTTCTGAAGTTGATAACAGCGGAAACACGTTGTCTCCTAATTGAAGGAAAAAATTATCTTGGTATTACGTTTCCATTTTCCCATAAAAAAAGTTGCGGCCGCTTTATTTCTTCCCCGGTAAAATGAAATTTGACGCTACGAACGAGTTCTAATACAAGTATTTTCCCGCTCGAAAAAGATTACATTTATATAAAATAACTTGTTTGTCTTTTCAAATTTCTGCCGACATAGTGTTGGAATATGAATAAGTATCAGTTGATATAGACAGCGCGGAGCACTTTTAGAAGGAGTAAGAGCTATTTTTATTTATCTTTTTAAACAAGGTATAACATTCGTTCTCTCAACTTCTGATTTTCTGAAGTTGATAACAGCGGAAACACGTTGTCTCCTAATTGAAGGAAAAAATTATCTTGGTATTACGTTTCCATTTTCCCATAAAAAGAGTTGCGGCCGCTTTATTTCTTCCCCGGTAAAATGAAATTTGACGCTACGAACGAGTTCTAATACAAGTATTTTCCCGCTCGAAAAAGATTACATTTATATAAAATAACTTGTTTGTCTTTTCAAATTTCTGCCGACATAGTGTTGGAATATGAATAAGTATCAGTTTATATAGACAGCGCGGAGCACTTTTAGAAGGAGTAAGAGCTATTTTTATTTATCTTTTTAAACAAGCTATAACATTCGTTCTCTCAACTTCTGATTTTCTGAAGTTGATAACAGCGGAAACACGTTGTCTCCTAATTGAAGGGAAAAAATATCTTGGAATTACGTTTCCATTTTCCAATAAAAAAAAAGTTACGATCGCTTTATTTCTTAACCGTTAAAATGAATTTTGACGCTACGAGCTTGTTTTAATACAAGTATTTTCCTGCTCGAAAAAAGATTGCATTTATATAAAATAACTTGTTTGTCTTTTCAAATTTCTGCCGACATAGTGTTGGAATATGAATAAGTATCAGTTGATATAGACAGCGCGGAGCACTTTTAGAAGGAGTAAGAGCTATTTTTATTTATCTTTTTAAACAAGGTATAACATTCGTTCTCTCAACTTCTGATTTTCTGAAGTTGATAACAGCGGAAACACGTTGTCTCCTAATTGAAGGAAAAAATTATCTTGGTATTACGTTTCCATTTTCCCATAAAAAAAGTTGCGGCCGCTTTATTTCTTCCCCGGTAAAATGAATTTTGACGCTACGAACGAGTTCTAATACAAGTATTTTCCCGCTCGAAAAAGATTACATTTATATAAAATAAATTGTTTGTATTTTCAAATTCTTTAAACTCGGTCAAACTATCATCAATCTCTTTCTCTCTCTTTTGTTGTTGTTGCCACTTTGCTTTCGTTCAAATCAACTGCGTGTCAAGTAAATTGCACTACCTGTTCAATAAATGCAAGGGAAAAGATTTAACGGTGGAGGCAAAGGACGTATTTTACTCAGTGGGAACATCATAATTATTCTGTATTAACATCGACTTCCATTACGACTGGTTCCTAGGAAACTAAAAAATATCGATGGACGATGCTCCCCCCCCCCCCCCCCCCCCCCTCTTCCCCGAAAGATTGAATGGAATATGAAACATCTGAGACTTGGCATTTATAAATTGTACTTAATTAAAATAAATGGGCAATCCAACCCTGTGGTGGAAATTTGCTTTAAAGGAAAGCAAAACAAATCAGGGGAAAACATTCATAAAAGTTTGAAAAAAGATCAGATAAACAAGAACAGATAACAAAACAAAGGCCTTTGCGGGTTGTGAAAACAGCCATTAAATAACCGACCCCTGACTTGGTAATTCTTCTCCCCTGTAATTACCAGTGTCGGAACTCTGACAATACGGTTTTCATGTTATCAACTTGATCAATTTAGCGAATCATTCATGTATGGACCTCCTCTATTATGAAACGCTTATCTCAGCTGCCTGGACCGGATGCGAATTTTTTTTCCGTACTCGAGAGGGCAAATACCCCATGTGCGCATGCGCGTGGACTTGTGATTTCTCTGCTACTTCCCATACGAAATGTACATGTATTCGCATGTACTGTGCACGATTCGCGTTCTACGAGTAAACGATGGCATAGTAGTCTTCAAACACAGACTCTGATTTGCCAGTTTGACAAATCAATATGCGTATGTGTCGCGATGTGCTTATTCAAGTCTGTGTAGTTGTATGATTCAGACCCAGTAGTGCATATGGAAATACATTGCAACTTGTATAGAATGGTATAGTAGTCTGCAAGCACAGACGCTAATCTGACAGTTTGACAACATACTAGTAGTGTGCTGAGAAGTACTTTATTCAAGTCGCCAACTTGTATAGAATGGTATAGTAGTCTGCAAGCACAGACGCTAATCTGACAGTTTGACAACATACTAGTAGTGTGCTGAGAAGTACTTTATTCAAGTCTGCGTAGATGTATGATTCAGACCCTACTGGTGCGTGCGTTAGAAATGCATCTCAATGTGTAGAGTGTAGTATAGTAGTCTGCAAGGACATAATAATATATTGTGTATTGATGAGTAGTGATTTTATGCAAGTTTGTGTAGTTTAATGATTCCAGACCCCATGGTAGGCCTATGTATTGTGCCACTGCTCTCTCACACTCTTTCTCTCTCTCTCTCTCTCTCTCTCTCCATATCTCTCTCTCTTTCTCTCTCTCTCTCTCTCTCTAGCCCTCCCTCCAGTATGCTCGCACTCTCTGTATTACTTTTATTTATAATCATGGTCTGCTGAGAGCCAGAAGGATGTTAACTCTTAACACAACGAATGCCCTTCTGGCTCTGAACAAACCCACACACCATGAGGTCATTTATTGGCCTTCTCAAAACCGTCATTCTGTAATAATATTTCTAACTTTGGTCTAATAACTCCTTTGTCAGTATAATCCATGGTCAAATTAATAATAAAATCGTGATAGAACAAACACACATGATGAAATAAATGATTCAATCATCTTGATTGTGGGCACGAACGGAAAGACAAAGCAAGACAAATATTCAGTTGTAAAATTGATTCGACACATTCCGCACTTAGGCCTAGCCTATAATGTTTTCTTCTTCAGAAATCAATAAAATTGAATCTGGTGTAGCACTATAGGCCCAAAATATTGATGCTCAACGGACCAGACCAGTAGGGTCTGAATCATAAAACTACTCAGACTTGAATAACACTATTTTGTCAAACTGTCAGATTAGCGTCTGTGCTTGCAGACTACTATGCCACTCTGCAAGTTGAGATGCCTTTCCAATACACGCACCAGTAGGGTCTGAATCATAAAACTACACATATTTGAATATAAAGCACTACTCAAGACACTATGTTGTCAAACTGTCTGATTAGCGTCTGTGCTTGCAGACTACTATACCATGCTATTCAATTTGGGATGCATTTCTGTAAGCACTAAAATGTCTGAATCATACAACTTCTCAGACTTGAATACTAGTACTATTGCTACGCACGATAT